CTGTATGCATACCTGGCCAAATGGGCCGGCCCGGCATGGCACAGCTCGACCTGATTTAAACGGGCCAGGCACGGCACGGCCCATTCAGGCACGCTAAGTAATCGTGCCGTGCCGGGCCGGCACGCGTGCTGACCTCTCTGGCCCAGGCACGCCCCCCTCGCTAAACGGGCTGGCACGGCGGCCCATTTAGCACGCCAACGCAGCTGGCCCGAGTAGGCACGTCTAGGCACAAGCGCAGACTACGTCGATCGTTGGGTGTTTTCTAAGAAAAAAATAAACATCGATCGCTCTGGCTCGCTACCTCGTTGGCTGGAATAAAATAATTGATCATTGAACGGCCGACCGTGACCATGCGCAGCGCCGCAGTGCGCCAGTGCGCTTTTCTGCTCATGCTAGAGTTACATCGATTGCAGGGATAAGGGATCGCATGCACGCACGGCACGACCCATTCAGGCACGCTAAGTAATCGTGTCGTGCCGGGCCGGCACGCGTGCTGACCTCTGTGGCCCAGGCACGCCCCCCTCGCTAAACGGGCTGGCACGGCAGCCCATTTAGCACGCCAACGCAGCTGGCCCGAGTAGGCACGTCTAGGCACAGGCGCAGACTACGTCGATCGTTGGGTGTTTTCTAAGAAAAAAATAAACATCGATCGCTCTGGCTCGCTACCTCGTTGGCTGGAATAAAATAATTGATCATCGAACGGCCGACCGTGACCATGCGCAGTGCCGCAGTGCGCCAGTGCGCTTTTCTGCTCATGCTAGAGTCACATCGATTGCAGGGATAAGGGATCGCATGCACACACGTCTTCCGTTCCCTGGCTCGGTGCCGCTGGCTCTCTGTCTCTTTTTTTTAGCATCAGTACAGACACAAGCGTTCATATACACGCGCATACACTCACCCTTATGAATGCACACATGCACACCATGAGCACCTCTGAGAGACTGAGCCTCTCCTCCCATTAAAAGCGCATCGCCGAAAATCCTGAAATAAATCCAGGAATAATGCGAGCACCAGGATTTGAATCCTGGTGGGTTGAGGATACCACTGTCCACCTAACCAACTCAACCACAGGTTGATTCACTGGGGTATATCCTATTTGGCGCATATGCGCCGGTTCGCCAACCGGCGGCTGCAGGCGCACCGAATTGGGCTCGGCCCATCTTGCTACCTCTTACCTGCTTTCTAAAAAGAAAAAAGGAGGTGCGGAGGATCGAACCAGCGACCTCCTGCTCGAGAGGTACTGCACTAACCACTAGACTGCAATCATATCTTGTGCGCAATTGCCCTTCTTCACGTTTTTCTTCTATGTCCTTCCCTTTTTTCTCCTTTTCCATTTTCTTTTTATTTGGAACTTTTTTGTTCGGTTTTCTATTCTTTTGGCCAACTTGATTGATTTTTTTTCAAAATCTGATGAACTTTTTCAATTTTGATGAACTTTTTTCGAATTCGATGAACTTTGTTCAAAACCGATGAACTTTTTTCGATTTCGATGAACTTTTTTCAAAACTGATGAACTTTTTTTGAATCTAATGAATTTTTTTTTCAAATTTGATGAACTTTTTTCAAAAGCCGATGAACTTTTTTTCGAATGCGATGAACTTTTTTTTGAATCCGATGAACTTTCTTCAAATTTGGTGAACTTTTTTTGAATTGAATGAACTTTTTTTTGAAAACCAATGAACCTTTTTCATTATTTTGAACTTTTCTTAAATTTGATGAACTTTTTTTCGAATTTACGTTTTATTTTTTGAGATAATTTGTATTAATTATATATTAATGTTTAAATGCGCGAAACGGTTAACTAGAACTGTTTTCTGGTAGTAGACATCAAAGTTAGTTTGGTCAAGTGGTTAGTGAGGTGGATTCGCAACAACGCGATCGTGAGTTCGAATCCCCGTCGATCCTCAGTTTTTGTTGTTTTTTCACTTCAACAAGCGCGAGATGGGCCGGCCCATACCAGCGACGCTGCAGGCGCCAGCTCGTTAACGGGCGCCTGCAGCGCTGACTAGGAGCTCCCATTCGCTGGCTCTCTGTCTCTAGTACGTATATGTATATGTATATGTAGTACGTGTGCTAAGAAAAAGGTTAGTCGTGCCGTGCCGGACATGGCAGCCCAGGCACGGCCCACTAAGCCACGTGCCGTGCCGGCCCATGACGGGCCGGGCACGCGGGCTATCGTGCCGGCCCGATAAAACTGGCCCGTTTGGACAGGTTTGGCTGTATGTGAGCGAGCGAGAGAACGGAGGAGCGGCGCCGACAGTCATCCTACCCCGCCGGCGACTTAGAGAATATCCCGTCCATTTCACCCAGCTCGCCCTACTACCAGTCTCCACCGTGGACCCGACCGACAGAGAGAGAGGAGCACCTCCGCCGGCGGTGGTGACCGTAGAGCTCACCGTTTCCGGCAGGGACCGGCGATTCACGGTCAGGACACCCATTCTCCCTCCTGTCCTTCTCGATGCCCTGGTTTTTTCTCTATTTCCTTTCATCTATTTCCTCAATGGAAACCCTAGCTTGATTTCCCCACGTAACTGAGCCGTAGCTTTTACATGTCGATCCTCAGTTTTTGTTGTTTTTTCACTTCAACAAGCGCGAGATGGGCCGGCCCATACCAGCGACGCTGCAGGCGCCAGCTCGTTAACGGGCGCCTGCAGCGCTGACTAGGAGCTCCCATTCGCTGGCTCTCTGTCTCTAGTACGTATATGTATATGTATATATAGTACGTGTGCTAAGAAAAAGGTTAGTCGTGCCGTGCCGGACATGGCAGCCCAGGCACGGCCCACTAAGCCACGTGCCGTGCCGGCCCATGACGGGCTGGGCACGCGGGCTATCGTGCCGGCCCGATAAAACTGGCCCGTTTGGCCAGGTTTGGCTGTATGTGAGCGAGCGAGAGAACGGAGGAGCGGCGCCGACAGTCATCCTACCCCGCCGGCGACTTAGAGAATATCCCGTCCATTTCACCCAGCTCGCCCTACTACCAGTCTCCACCGTGGACCCGACCGACAGAGAGAGAGGAGCACCTCCGCCGGCGGTGGTGACCGTAGAGCTCACCGTTTCCGGCAGGGACCGGCGATTCACGGTCAGGACACCCATTCTCCCTCCTGTCCTTCTCGATGCCCTGGTTTTTTCTCTATTTCCTTTCATCTATTTCCTCAATGGAAACCCTAGCTTGATTTCCCCACGTAACTGAGCCGTAGCTTTTACATGTGGAGCCAGGAGAGCGTGCTCAGCGGGAGGTGGATACCGGATCCTGCTCCGATTCCCCAAGAGTAAGATCCATTTTTTCGTCCAATTTCTGTGCTGGATGGATGGATTCCTCACTTAGCTAGTTAGGGCCCTGAAGCAATTGTTTGCCTAATTATTGCTCCTCAGGCATCCTGAATTCTTTTTCAGTCGGCCTATTGTTTGCTTAAATCTATAATGTACCTCTGAAAAACCACATTTGTAAAGCGCTGCCTGTAGAAGATTGCACTGTCCACAAATACCCAACAAAAAAGTTGTTAGATTAATCTTGAGTTCAGCATAAGTGTTGTTTCCTAATTTATGAAGTTTGCATATTATGACGACGAGAAGTAAGATCTTCTCATCTTAGGGAAAACATATTTCTTATGGAACAGACAGAAATTGGAGGTGGCTACCTTGTAGTACGGATAGTACTATGCATCTGCCGGAAGTAATTCAATGGATAGTAACAATACTCAAATGTATGTTTTTATGCCATTTATTTTGATGTTTATACGTTGGTAACCTTGTAGGTAGATAAAATTTTAGAAGACACGGAAGGCTTGGATATTGTATATTTTAGAAGTCACTCAAGCCTTGTATACATTGATGACCTACTGTTAATATCATGTGGAAAACACATTGCTGTAGAGCATATCCAGCAGTACAAATTAAGGTGGAATAAGTGAAAAACAGTGTTCTACTTGAAAAACAGTCTTTTGGCACTTTTGTAATTATTCATTTGATTTTAAAATTTAGTCCAATTGCTAGTGCTCTCTGCCAACTTACTAAATTCTATGTTGTACTTGGACAGAAGAGAACTAGTAAATGCTAGAAACAACATCCTATTCAATATCTAGCTAGCTGTATACAACAGGAAAATGAGAAGAGAAATTACATAATATGGTTGTAATAACCCAGGCGAGGAGGGTGTGGCCTTTACACTTTCACTGCTTGTGGTGCGCCTCTTCATCTAGTACTTTGACTTGAGTATCGCGTGATATTTGATATCTGTTTTACAGTTCAGTAGTTTTGATCTTGTCATGGTTAAGTATCTCTACCCTGATTCTTGGTCTGTTTTGCTTGGAAAAAAGACGCCATGTGAAGAAGAATAAGGTCTTGGTTCGAAGAACCTGCTCTACTTGTACTTTTAGTTTTGAAAAAAACTGCTACCAGCCTAACGGTGTTGCAGCTCAAAACACTCCACTATCTACCAGCTAGTTATGTAACTAGGTTAGGTACTCTATGACAGTTTGACAAGACCTATATGTATGTTTGTGCTTGTATCCTTCCAACGTTCTGCTGCCTGCTAGCTATGTTGTTTTCTTTTTTTTAACTGTATGCTGTTTTGTTTTAAACGTCTTGTCCATTTGCAAACACTTTTCTTGTTAGCAATGAGCCTGTGGGATCGGTGGATGCATGCAAGCAACTTTCGAAGCCATAATCATGAAGATACGCTGCCGCCGCGGCAATCATCATGAAGATCTGCAGTTTGTGCTGTGATGTTTTGATGTGCTACCTTTTAAGCTAGAACTCTGTAACCTGTTAAGTTGAACTTCAGTGAAAGCAGGGTTTCCAATGTGCCTCGAGTCTAAAGTTAGCAGTGTGCAGCTCTAACAAATTGCTAGGTTGTTAATTTGAGGACACATACTGACAGGAATATTTACTTTGTGCAGCTAATCCTGTAAGTCTGCAAAGATTCGACGCCTGACTGTCATGATGCCTATTTAAGTTGTTCCTTGTTGAAGCTGCAAGCATTGCGAATTGCGATCATCAGAATGTTCCAAACGAACTGCTCAACAGAGGTTAATGAGCATGGAGGTTCCAAAAACGATTTGCTGATGCTCTTTCCCAAACTCAGTAAAAGTTTAATACTTCCAATTCATTAGCTTTAGCTAATGATTTTTTTGTTAATATTTACTCTACTTTAGAAAATTATATGAGCCTACGTGTCTCAAGGATGTTATTATAATATTTTTGGGTTACACTGTTTCTGTCCCAGATAATGTTTTCACATAACATTTTAGTGAGATTTTGCACAATTATTGTGCTACATTTCAGTGAATAAAATTATATTGAATAAGCAGTGTTAGTTCCGGATGACAGCATTGTCAGCACTCGTTTTTCCAGAGTCTCAGAAATGCTTTTGCAATATAGTATTTTAATAGATTTTGCAAACAAAGTATAGCAGAAATCAGGGAAAAAAATTATGTTTGCTAGACCATGTCGATCCAGATGACACCATTGTACAGGAGCATAGTCTGTAGACATGCATTACTAGTGAGGTCATTAACTGCTACTAATGGGGTCAGAAGTACTTATTAATAGCTAGCATCTATGGTGCTTCATTTTTGTGTTTTCAACTGACCACACAAACAACACACAGCTCCGCCAGTGTTCTCCAGCCACCTTCTATTTGCTAGTCTGTCAAATAAAATTTGTAGTTCAGATTTCGGACACCAGTTATGTCGCATCAAAAATGTCGCATCAATAACCAGAAGGCCCATGAAATAGCAAAATTTACAATTCCAAGATATTCTAGGCTGCTGGATGGATGTTTTAATTTGCAATACACATTTTTTAAAGAACCACTTTGTTGATTATAGTCGATGTGTATTGCAACCACGTTGATCAATGGAACCAGTTCATTAATTTCATAGGTTTGATGCCACAGGCTTGATCCCGTTCCTCACATGGTACATGCGGATGCCAAGAGGCTGCGACGGTGTTACTCAATCCCCGTTGAACCGGTATCCAAGGTGTTCGACGACGACGACAACCTCCTCATTGAGACCATCGTCTGCCTCGGATTCCCCACCACCCTCATTTGCGCCTCCCTATTCTGCAAGCGCTGGCTTTGGCATGCCTCCGACCCCGCTATCCTCTGTCGCTTCCGTAAGCTCCACCCGCCCTGCCTCCTCGGATTCTACGTCAGAAGTATGTTCGATAATAACCCTCCAAACTTTGTGCTGATGCTTCCACAACCCCTAGAGCTCGACGCCGTCATTCTCCATGCAAACTTTAGCTTGGACACATACAAGGGCATTAGAATTCACATTGTGGACTGTTGAAACGGCAACATCTTCATCTGCAGCAGGACATCCTCATGTATAGAAGTAGTGCACAGACGGTTGTACCTTGATAGAGGAATTTATATCTTGCCACAACTCCCGACTCGCCAACTTCAGCACGGCGGTTTCTACACTTTGAGTGACCTTGTCTTCAAGGAAGAAGGTGAACGTTTGTCCTACTTCTATGTGTGCTTCGAGTCTATTGGGATGTTAACAAAATCTACGGTGCACGTGTATAAGTTCCAAGATGGTTCCTGGTGCATGCCTACCTCGTTCACTAGTACTCATCTCCATTATAATCCATGGTACTAAGACATCAGATCGACAATAAAATCTATATAGCCTCCTTGAGCAACATTCTTGTCTTCGAATTGTCGACCTCAGGTTTCTCCATATGTCACCTTCTGCTGATGATTCGGGTGTATATCTTATTTGTGCTAATAAGCTTCAACTTGACATTTGGCTGCACAAGAGGGAAAAATAGTCGCTGGAGGATACCATTTTTTTGCGAGAGATGCTTGCTGATTTGAAGATCTCAGATCACACATTTGATAATTGTCATACTGATGTTTTCCTTATAAACCAAGTGGGGAACAATGTTGGATTTGTGTTCTTGCAGATTGGACGATCTATACTCTACTTGGACACTAAGTGCAGGACATTGCGTAAAGTTTATGGGATTGAAAGAGAGGGTATACTACATCGTATCCATCCTTTCTTTATGATCTGGCCTCCCACATTCCCTATGCGCAAGGACGATATTGCAAGGTTTTCCTTTTCCCCTTGGGTGATGCGACTAAAATTCGTTTTATTTGGAAGTGATAGAAGTTGTTTATATTGGAGTTACCTTAGAGGAGAAGCATTCACTATAATACCGCAGTTTCACGGGAAGGATGTCCCATATGCATAGGTGCATGATAGGGAAATTGAGAAGGACAATAGGGATTGGGGATAGATAAGATAAATTAGAGGGATATGGGTCAGCATTTGAAGTGCGCTCCTCAAGCTGTAATGTCTTGCATTTTTAATATTTAGTTTATTCAGTATATTCTATAATAGAAATAACTTTGATGGAGTGAGTTGCCGCTCACATGCCTGTTTGATGATTTAGAGAGAAATTAGAGGGGTATGGGTGAGCACTTCAATTGTTATCCTCAAGTTATTATGTTTCAGAGTTTTAGAACTTTGTATATTTTGTATGTTGGATAACAGAGTTAAATTTGCTGGAGCATGCTCTCACAGATTTAAATTATGGATGGGACATTCTACACTGGCATGCTTATGATTATACATTTTTTTATTTAGACATATCACATGAATTTTTTCCTGTTATAACACATGACATCCAATCTTCCGTGACCATTTTGTACGTTTGGGTGTCTAGACTGTAAATAAGTCCCTTCTGAGTATCAATCTATTTACTGCATGTACTGGAACAGTTTTTGTCATCTTGAGTTTAAATGTTTGACTTTCACTGTATAGTGAGTTTTCTAGATCTTGATCCTTGTCTTGTTTTGCTTGGAACAGTGAGATCACATCAAGATGAGGAAGGTGCAGCTGAGCAGCTGCTGTTAGTTATGTGGTATTAAGGACCGCCTCAGACAAGTGTTGTATTTGCTTCAGCGAAAGCAAGCCAAAGTTACTTCAGGGCTGAGTTAGCAACGTAAAGCTCTAGCAAATAAATGGATTGTCAGTTAGAGAACACAACTGAACTTTCAGCTTTCACTACTTTTCCTTGTGGTTGGCAAATGTGCTTAATTGTGTCTTGTACTCTTGTGGGACCATATCACCCTTGCATTACTGTTACTGCTATCAAGATGAGCGTTGGATTCGCTTCAGTTTCCGATGTCTTAATGTTTTTGGCTGTTGCTACTGGAATGTTGAGCTGTTGCTGTTGAAATTAATTATGTGTACCCAAAAAAGATAGAATGGCAAGGTAGAAGCTTAGCGGAGAAGGATTTTCAAATATGATTGTGCTACGAGGGCCAGAGTGTTAAGAACTGAAGGATAATGCACATGACAAATCTACAACAGAATATTAGGGATGGAATCTCCAACCAAAGATTAGTAGTGTGAGTTAAAAAAGGTACGAAGTATATCTGAAGAACTGAATGACCATACCGTGGTGACTTTTCGAGCATTCATTCATTTTCATATCTCTGGTGACATTCTTTCAAAAAAAAAAAAACTCCGGTGACATGGAATGTAATGTGCAACTTGAAATTAAAGACCCGCAACAAAATGCAGGTGTGTCTCTGTGATTCGAGTTAATGACTGTCACACTGAAGCTGAGAATTTTCCGAAAAGTAGTTCACCACGAAACATGTGTTTTACCAAGTACATCTACTCCAGTTTTGCAAGCATGTACAGGAGAGCAACTTGACAGTACTGTTTAACTGAACCAGTTAGGTCACACTTGAAGCTGCAAAACCACACAAGATGTCATTCAGCAAACATTACTTATTTACAGTACACCACGGCTGAACCCCGAGGGGCACTCCTTGGTTCAAGGGGTTGCACCAGTTGGGGCACAGTAATAGCCATGTCAACGATTCTATTTCACTTCATCTTTTCTATACAGAGTTACAATATCTCCGCAATCAGTTGGGCCAATATAACAAGTTTAAAATAGCGGGCTATTGTATTTAGTCCCGGCGATTTCAGCAGCTACAGAAGGCTATAGCCGGCTATACTATATAGCGGTTTTTTGCTAAATAATGTAAAAAATTCAAAATTTGGGCAGCATATATATATTCGTACATATATCAGTATTCACAAATGCATAACGTAATAACATAGTCACATAAGAGATACAAATAGGCATGAGTTTAAGTAGCATCAATTTATAACATGATTCAGTCCAAATATTATATAACTAATAAAATGGAGACTTGAGGGTTAGGGTTAGCATAGCTGTCGAATTGGGCCACGAAATTGGGCTGTGCGGTCAAATTTTGGGCCACAATTTTTGGCGCCCCTAGGCGAGAAAATAGCCACTAAGAGGCTAAGTCGGGGCTAAATCCATTTAGCCGCGCTATTAGCGACTATTATTATTTTAGCCTATAAAGGCTCTAGCCATAGCGCGGAGCCTCTCGAAAGGCTATACTCGGGCTATAGCGCGCTATTTAAAACTTTGCCAATTATTATAGTAAAGGTCCCGTAATGATTTCTACTTGTTCTTCTTTCTTTCTTTCTTGAGATTCAATATTTACCGAGTCGTCACATATATTTTGTTATCAATGTGAACTTCACTTCCCCGCTGAAAAGAATAATCCTATCAAGATCTTCTCATGGAGGACTAAGAAACTAGTTATTGTTAGGGAAAATCTCTTTTCATGAAACCATCTCAATGTTTGTACACTGACGACTTTACTAGATAAAAGTTTAGAAAATACCAAAGGGTTGTATATTATTACTTCTCAGAAAATTGGTAGTAGCGATCATTTAACGTGAGAAAAGCCGATACAACCATCCCCATAATTAGTATGGAAAAGTCCCGAAATGCGTGAAAAGTTTTTTTATTCTGGTATTCATACTGTAAGTGATTTAGTAAATAGTTATGGATTTTTTTTCCAAACTTTCAATAATTTTCTATTTTTTCTTAGAAAATTAGAATTTATGTTATTTGTTTCCCGGATATCTTGATTAATTTTATTTTAAATTAAGTTATTAACATGTCGACGTTGATGACGTTGATGCATAAAAGTAATGCCACATGTGTGTCGGGCGGCGCGAGGATGTTGAGCTCAACAAGATCCCTCGCCTTGTCGACGCCGAGACTTTGCCTCTAGCATTTCGAGCCGCCGATCTCGTTGTTGTGCGCCATGGTAGGGAGAGGTAGAGGTGTCAAAGTCGAAGGTGCCCAGCCGTGGAGGGAGATGCATGAAGAGGTGCAGGCTGAATATCCGACACATCGCGCCGATAAGGGTAGATGAAGGGTCTATGTTGTTGATTTGGGGGGAGGGGGGCTAGTTCCACCGTTTAAAACCGGGCGACACATCGGTTCAATGCTGCCAACACGTGGGGAAGCATCAGCACCTGCTTGGAGAACTGCAGAAATGGTGGGCTCCATTAAATACCACAGACCACCATTGTTCTGATGACAAGTTGGGCTCGCCTTTGGAGTCTTATGTGGCCGGAGTGTGTGAGCATTTTAGGACGTGTCCGGGCAGTTTTCAGACCTTCTGAACCAATGGGAGGGCCACTAGAGGCTATTTTCATGTCCAGAACATCACTGTACCAATTATACTATGGGGGTGCCGGTGTAATTTCTTTTAGGTTGGTCACGCTGGGAAGTATCATACATGTGTATCATTCATATGATACATGTCTGATACTTTGCCTTTATAATGTATAGTATCATGTAGTAATATCATAGTCTCGGACTATTTATTATTTGGTAGAATCTCTATACAAATATGTTATAAGAAAATATATATTCAAGGTAAGAGCTGCTCCTTCCGCCGGATGCGGATCTCCTCCCGTCGGCGGCTTACCTTGGCGCCGGGGTGGTCTGCATTGGCGGCGGTGGGATCTGGTTCGCGATTTACATGTCTGCAGCCGGATGAGGGTCGAGATGAGTCGTCGTCGGGCGAGAATTCTACGGTGTTGCGCCGGCGAAAATCTGACGAAGAGATTGCCGCAGAATTTTGGGCAGATATTGGGTTCCCTACTCCTGCTTCTAGGGTTTGGGAGAGACCTTCTTCGAGGCGGATACCAGCTACGGCAAGTGCTGCTCAAATGGAAGGGGAGAAGTCCTTGGCGATGCCGGCGTCCTCTTCCAGGGCGGCATTACAGGCCGGTCGGGATACGGCTAGGGCGGCGTGTGACGCCCCCGATTTAATCGTACACTAATCATACACGCAAACGTGTACGATCAAGATCAGAGACTCACGGGAAGATATCACAACACAACTCTAAAAATAAAATAAGTCATACAAGCATCATAATACAAGCCAGGGGCCTCGAGGGCTCGAATACAAGTGCTCGATCATAGACGAGTCAGCGGAAGTAACAATATCTGAGTACAGACATAAGTTAAAC